TGAATTCAACTTAATCCCAACTAATATCTCAACAAGGCCTTTTGTGAAATGTGATAATTATGACACTTATTAAGAAGAGAGTTAACAGGGCTGGTGGAGTGGCTCAAGTTGTAGAGAAGCTGCCTAGTAAGCGTAAGGTCCTGAGTTCAAACCGCAGTGCCACAAAAAAAAGAAGAAGAAGAAAGTAAGGCCAAAAAGATCCTTTCCCTGCCTGTTATTATAGTGTTGTGGCAATTAAGAAAGTGTGACACTGGGGTGGCAATTAAGAAAGTGTGGCGGGGTACAGAAGTTTATCAGGGGAGGGGCTGGAGGCATGGCGCAGGTGGAAGAGCACCTGACAAACAGGGCTGCTGGAGTGGCTCGAGTGGTAGAGGTCCTGCCTAGCAAGTGTGAGGCCCTAAGTTCAAACCCCAGTACTGCCAAAAAAAAAAAAAAAAAAAGAAGCACTGAAAAAAAATTGATAATTTGGTCATACTAAAATTAAGAACTTTAGCTCATCAAAAGACATCTTTAAAGCAATGGAAACACAAATTACAAAGTGGGAGCAGATATTGCAATATATACGATAACAGAAAACGTGAGCAGGTTATGGATCCACGATTCTCACGGGAGGAACTTTACAGAACCAGCAGACAGCACAGAGACACACGGAGACGCTAACCAGCGCAGTCAAGACCACAGTGAGACACTTTCCTAAATCCGTTAGAAACTCTGCGTGCTGGTGATTCTGTGATCCGTAAGCTTCCCTACACATCCTTGGTGGGACTGTGAATTATTCTGAGTGCTTTGGAAATCAGTTTTTTTGCTATCTCCTAAAACTGAGAACTTAGATATCCTATGAGCTGGGATCTCCATTCCTAGGTATACATTCACCCAAACCCTGCACATGGACAAGGACAGGTGCATAAAAAGGTCCACAGAGGCCTTGCTCACAACAGCAAAACCTGGAAACACTACGTCCACAGCCAGAGAGACATGGACACACACCATGCCGGGTCACCGAAATGACCCACAGTGACACAGGTGGATCTTAGCAACATGGTTTTTACCGAAAAACAATCAGCCCCCAAGTAATTCACACACTATGATGCCTTCTTCAAAAAGTAAGAAGAGCTAAAATTGAACACTTTTTTTTAAAGAATGTGTGTAGATGCAACAAAACTAATTAAAAAGGAAAGCAATGTCACAATGACCAAAGTGATGGTTACCAGCCTTGGGAAGGCAGCTCGGGAGCAGGGCCTGCTTGGTGTGTGCAGGCCCTAAGTTCAGTCCCCAGCCATACACCACACACCACACACCACACACACACTCAAAAGACGGTCTCCCCCAAGAGGGATGCAGGGGAAGGCACAGGGGACCAGATGGATGTTCACAGCTTATTATATTAGAAAACGACACAGGGGCTTAGGGGCATGGCTCAGCAGTAGAGCACTTAGCAGCATGTGTGAAGTTCCATCCCCAGTACTGAAACAAAGAGACCTAAATAAAAGTGTCACACAAGGATCAACAATGAAAGTACGTCATGAATCAAGAGTTATGATTTGCCAAGTGCTGGTGGCTCAGGCCTGTAATCTAGCTACTTGGGAGGCTGAGATTGGGCAGATCACAGTTCAAGGGCAGTGTGAGCAAATAGTTCTCAAGATCCCATATCCAAAATAACCAGAGCAAAATGGACTGGAGGTGTGGCTCAAGTGGTAGAATGCCTGCTTTGCTAGTATGAAGTCCTGAATTCAAACTCCAGTCCCACCCAACCCCCCTAAAATAATTATAATTAATGAGATTATGTGCACCTGAGAGCTAATGACATAAGAAAAATAAATGAATAGATGAATAAAATAAAACCCTAGGCAATGCAGCAAGAAATAGAAATTAGTGATAGAATGATTACAAGGAAAAAGAAAATTTGCCAGATGATGTAATTATATATATGTGAAAAATCCAGCTCTTGGCTTCCAGCTTCTATCTGGGCCTGAACATGCTTCCCTTTGTATTTCCCTTCCCTAAATTTTAATAAATTCCATTTAACCCACGTGTCCTGCCATGGATTCTTCCTGATGGGATATGAAGAATTTGGAAGTCTTCTGATCACAGAGTGCACCAGCGCCATTAACATTTTGTGGTGGAGCCAGCCAGGAGAAATGAAAAGTCACATTGGCTCTGACTTCTGATCTGTTTGATGTGTTACTTCCCCTCTTCCATGGAACAAAATCTGACTTTCTGGAAGAAGCTATGGCTTTTCAGGAGAAGCAACGCCTGCTCCAAGGAGTTCTGCTTCCAAACTGGCAGAATCTTCAGAGACAACTGTGCACAGAAAGAGTTTAAGAGGATGTGACCCGCCCAGGGCAGTTGGTGTCCCCCAACTTCTTAGAGGACTAAGTGGCATTCAGTCCAAAGGACTGCACAAATGAGAGGACTTCTCCAGATCCAGATGGAGTCAATTATGCCAGACCGCTAAAAGTAACCAAAGCTGAGAGATTTTAAAAAGGGGCTTTTATGCGTGTGCTCTAATAGTTAAGCCTTCTAGGCTTCTGGCAAAAGGCAAACTCTTTGGCCAAGTTCTTCTGTTTGAGCAAAGGCAATATAACTTTCAAAGGTATCTAACTTCAGCTTAGGGAAACTGAGTCTTCTTCCTGTACAGAATTGACTCATTGATGTTTACCCTCTAATTGGACTGGTACCTGCCCCCGGTACACCTGGCCCATAATGTAGATTGTTTGTTGTCCCAAACAATCAGTCCTTAACTGCCCATTACAGTGGCAGTCCATACAGAGGTCCAGCTAAGAGTTAAAAATAGCTACAGGTATAAACACCTATAGACAAAGTGACCATAAGACGCTCTGTCACATTTCAAAATGAAAAGTTAGATTATTTATCATTCCTGCTACACCTGGCAGGGCCCCTTCTGACGCTCTGATCATTGCTTATGTTCAGGTCAGGCCTTCTGAACCAGATTTATCTCTCCCAGAATGAAAGCCTTCAGAACCCAAATCATGAGGCAACAGGGCTATCAATCCTTACAGACAGATGAGATCTCTATGAGTAACCTTAACTATGCTGGGCAACAATTCAAACACTTTGTGTCCAAATGAATCCCAAGGGAAAGAAGCAGGAGAGACAATTTCCCCTTGTAGGTAGGGTCTGCTGCCCCTTGTCAGCTTGAAGCAGATGCTGAAGCTGGACTGCCCTCTTTCACAACCCCCCAAAAAGAATTTTTTGGAATATTGTCTCTCAGGGGGAATTTGAGGCAGAGTAAATTAGGGAAAGATCCAGACTCAGAAAAATATTGCATCTTCGATTTACCACGCTTTGGCTCAGGAACCGCCCTCACCTGGCCGGGAACCACAACCTTCCCACTCATTGACTACTGAACGGGAATCACCTGGTTCTCCCCTACCCCAGGTTATCATAGGTTTTAAAAGCACCTGAAGAGAGGAAACACATTCTCTCAGCTTCTGGCATCCACCTGGGCCTCACCACACTTCCCTTTGTATTTCCATTCCCTAACTTTTAATAATTTCCATTTATGCCCCCCCAAAAATCCAAGTGATTCATCAAATAAATTAGCAGATTTGGCAAACTCTGCTGAATTTCTATAACCACACTTAGTTTGTAGATACAGTAAAATTATAAACTAGAATAAGAGGAAAACACACAGAATAAATCCACCAAGGAACAGTTAGAGAAACACTACAAAGAGTTTACTGGAAAACACTGAAGAGTAGGTAAGTGGAGAGAGACACCATGTTCACAGATTAGAAGGCTCATTGTGACAAGGAGTCAGTTCTCCTCAAATTGGTATATGAGTTTAACTTAATCCCAATAAAAATCCCAGGTTTTATTGCTGTTGTTTGTGGTACTGACAGCCTGACTCTGGAAGTATGGAGTTAGGAGTAGCCCAATCTTTTCCAAGGAAGAGAGACAAGATGGTGGAGTAACAAAGGCAAAGCCACAGGAAGGAAGGCACTGACTCAAGGTAGACAAGCAGACTGAGGTGACAGACCAGGAAGTCCAGAGACAGACCCTTGTGTGTGAGAACACAGGACATGTGGAGTGTCCCTATGAGAGTCCCATTGGAGTCTGTTGAGGATCCAACCAAAAATCAATTAGATCCTGTCTCACCCCAGGACAGGCCAGGTCCAGGAGCCCCAGGTGTGAAGAGCAGCAACAAGGCAGCTTGAAGACACCCCTGGAGGTCCCCTCATGACCCGAGGTGAGGATCTTCCTCACCACAGTCACTGAGATTAGAGAAGTTGATCGTTTCACCTTTATTGAAAGTAAGATGGTTTTAAATCAAAAGACCCTACAAAGACGTGAAAAGACAAGTCATGAGGTAGGAGATGGGATCTGCAATGAAAAGAAGGGTGTGCAGAACAGACACAAATGCAGAAGAGGGAGACTGTGACGCTACAGACAGCCGACCTAAGACTCTGCAGAACGGGAAGCCAGCGCGGTTGATAAATGTCTGGATTAGCTCATTTCCATTTCATTAGTGAATGGAGATGTGCAAAGAGCCCACTGCACACCACAGAGAGGCACATGCTGAGGTGCCTGTGACTGACTGAGGCAGTGATAGGAGCAACAGTCACCTGCCTGATACTGGTCTGGGTGCAAATCAGCTCAGTCCCTGGGCCATGCCTGCAACACCTGATGAAGGGGGGTGACCAGTGTCCCCCCCAATTCACGCCCATCTGGAAAATTCCTTATTTGGAAATAGGGTCTTTGCCAATGTAATCGATGAAGGAGGTCATGCTGGAGTCGGCTGGGCCCTAACCCAGTGACCACTTTCCTCATAGGAGGGAGGGCTGGACACAGGGAAGAGGCCAGAGCAAAGACAGACACAGACACTGGAGTGATGTGGCCAGCAGAATCAGGGAGGACCCTCTCCCCAGGGTCCTTGGAAGCTTGGTCTGACAGACCTCGTCTCAGCTTCCAGTCCAGGTTAGTGAGACACAAATTTCTGTTGTTTTCAGCCCCTGGTTTGTGGTTTGTGTTATGGTTGCTCATGCCCGGTGAGTTGGAGTTGTCTTGTCTGCTGACAACTCCCCCAGGAAGACATCTGTGGAAAGCCCCACAACGCTCCTGGAGAGTCATCACAGAGGAAGCGGGCAAGCTGCCATGTCCTCCAGGGACCCAGCCTTCCCTGACACCAGTGCTCCTCCTGCCGGCGCCCCTGTGGCCAATCACACATCTGTATGTCAGTAGTAGGATCCCTACCCTGAGCTTTCCTGACCAGGTGGCTGGGAAGCAAGGAGAGAGAGGGAGAGGGGGAGGGAGAGAGAGAGGGAGAGAGAGAGGGAGAGGAGAGGGGGAGGGAGGAGAAAGAGGAGAAGAAGGAGGACAGAGAGAGAGAGAGAGAGAGAGAAGACCAGGCATGGGGTGGGGTGGGAGGACAGTGCACCTGAGTAGAGCAAGGTAGGGCCTGACCCGAACCCTGTGGACAGTTACTGCATGACAGGCACTCCTGGTAGCTGGCTCACCCGGCTGGCTCTCCACCAGAGACCCCAGTGCCAGGCCAGGTCAGTGCCAGGCCAGTTTCTGGCCCTATTCCCAAGCTCAGGTTGGAGCCCCTATCAGGAGATGCCCTGTTCCGGTCCTGTGCCATGCCCTGAAGGACATAGCCAGCTCTCCCTCCTTGAGGGCTGGGATGGAGCCTACAGCCCCCAGGTAACCATGGGGATGAGGGATGGGACACAGACAAGCATGAGGTCCCGCAGTTACCTGGTGCTCTGGGTGGCTGAGACAGACTGCCCTCCACTGTCTTCACGCTCTGCAGCACAGGTGTCAGAGGATGCACACTTAGAAAGTGTGGATCCAAGTGTCTGACGGGCTGGGCTTTGGTGAAACCACTTCTCGGGGTCTTAATGTCTATGTGTTGATAGTTACAGGCAGGGAGTGCATGGACGGACCTCGCTCGACAGCTCTTCTCCAGTGGCTTCTGCACAGGTGCAGACCAGCTGGAGGAGAGGACCTTCGTGTTTTCTGGTTTCCAGTCTGGCTGCACGGCTGGGCCAGGAGGTTCCCCTGCTAGTTCCAGCCCCACCCAGGGGCTCTGTGCTTTAAGAGGCTGCGGGTCTGAGAGTGAGTCCAAGTTGAGGTTGGTGATGTGTGGCATTTGCTTCTTGGCTTTCTTCACATTGATGCCTTCCACGCACAGGTCGGACCCGCTAAACGGGGGCAGCTCCACGGCAGGCTGGGAGAGGAGGTGGCAGGTCAGAGCCCCCCGACCCAGGGATGGGCACCGAGGGCCTACAACCAGGGACCTGTTGTGCCCTCTCCTGAGTTCTGCAGCCAATTGTGAGGTCTTAGGGAGAAGCACGGCTGTGCTTCCTGATGGCTCAGACACCCATAGGGTCTCTCCTTTAGAGAGCCCAGCTTGTTTCCAGACTCAGAACTCAACCAATGGGACAAGGATCCAGAGGCAACCCCGGGCCCCTTGCCCTGCTGGCCTGCTGGAAAGTCCTCAAGGGGAAGAGGCCCTGGAGAGACCTCTGAATGAGGGGAACAGCCCACAAGGGCCTGAGGGGCCAGGTCAGGGCCTCATCTGCTGGCCACAGAGTCAGGGATGGGGGTAGGAGATGCGAACGAGAGGAAAGAAGGCTGTACCATGAAAACCACAGGGGTTGAGTCACCAGGGCTGCCCAGACCCCCACCCAGTGAATAGCATGAGTGCCTCACTCAGTGCAGACAAGAGGGGTGAGCTCAGGGGAGACCAAGGCAGGTCCAGGCCCTCGACACCTCTGAGCACAGCCAGAGTCACACTTGCCAGACCTGGGGAACAGGATCTGTGTCCTCCAGTGACCACGAAAGCAGAGGTAGTGGTGGTGTGGAGCCCAGCCCGTGGACGGGACTCTGGCATTGGAGTGGCGTGGGCACTGCATTCACCTGTCTCCACAGGAGCTCAAAGTTGCCAATGTCACAGTTGCGATCCAGCTTTCGGTCCACCACGACCTTGATGGTGTCCTCCTGCACCTGGGCACAGAGCTGGGCCGTGACAGGCGTGGACGGGTGCATGGTGGGGCTGGAGTTGATCTCGATCAGCCAGGGCTTAAAGTCCCGCCCAAGGATGAAGTCGGCACCGTACAGCTCGAAACTGTTCTTGCGTGCCTCCACGTGGTCCTGGGCCGCCCGCATGACGTGGGTGATGGCCCTCTTCATGGATGGATAGATGGTGCTGCCCCACGCTGTCCCGCGGCCCCTCTTCTGCAGGTACTCCTGGAAGCGGGAGCTGGTCCACATGTTGTGGCCGGGCAGCAGTGGGCTACGCTCCTTGTCGTTCTTGAGTCGCCTCTGGATGGAGTTGTTGCACAAGTGGATGGCACTGCAGGCAAGGCACCTGTGAGGCCTCTGGGTGCCAGCCACCTTCCCAGGGAGCCTGCTGCCCCAGCCAGCCAGCCCTGAGGACCTCGCGCCTGGCTTGGTGCAGGGCAGCTGAGAGAGGCCTGGGCTCTGCTGGGTCTGCAGTCTGGGGGCCTCAGCCAGCCTGGGGGACGCCACGGGTTGTACTGGGCGCCACCCCCTAGGACGCTCCATCTGTAAAACCTCCTCAAGGCTTAGTTTGCCCACCCACACAGTCCCTGATGGGCTGATCCAGGCAAGGCAGATTCACCTAACCGAAAGTCCAAGTGGGTGTACTTACATTCTTGCCTTGTTCTAAACAGATTTAAGATAAATAATATCTTTTAGATCATCAAATACTGTTTGGGGTCAAGAGCACTTTCTTTTCTTTCTTTTCCTTCCCTCCCTCCCTCTCTCGCTTCTTCCCTTCCTCTTTATTTTTCTTCTTTTTTTTTTTTTATGACAGTACTGGGGCTTGAACTCAGGGCCTCACACCTCCTGGACAAGTGCTCTACACTTGAGCTATGGCCCCAACCCTTCTTTATGCTTTAGTGATTTCTCAGATAAGGTCCTGTTTTTTTGCCAGGGTTCAGCCTTAGACCTCGATCCTCCTTTATGCCTCCCATGTAGCTGGGATTACAGAGGCACACATCCCCACGCCCAGTTTATTTGTTGAGATGGGGTCTCATGTTTTGCCCAGCTGGCTTCAAACTTTCATCTTCCTGATATCCACTCCCAAGTAGCTGGTATTTCAGGCATGAACCACAGTGCCCAACTGTCTAGAACATCTTCATTTGAACTGCAGGTTTATAGGGTAGGTACGCTGGGCTGGGAATTTTCATACAGGTCTAGGGTACAGCATTCCCCTAGTATAGTATACTTCCATAAGAAGTATAGTAAACTATACTTCCATAAGAAGTAGACAAAAATTTAAAAAGATACAGCCATCTACAAGAGTTTTCAAAATTAAAATTAGTGAGCTGGGTAGGTGGTACAAGCCTGTAATCCCAGCTAATTAGGAGGCAGTAGGGGTGGGATTGTGAGTTCCAGACCAGCCAGAGCAAAATTAGTAAGACTATATTTCAAAAATAAAATAGAAGCCAGGGGCTGGTGGCTCAAGCCTGTTAATCCTAGCTACTCAGGAGGCAGCAATCAGGAGGATCGTGGTTTGAAGCCAGCTCAGGCAAATAGTTCCACGAGACCCTATCTCGAAAAAACCCTTCACAGAACAGGGCTGGTGGAGTGGCTCAATGTGTAGGCTCTGAGTTCAAGCCACAGTACTGTCCCCCACCAAAAAAAAAAGGGTGGGGGTGAGTACGGCTCAAGTGGTAGAGTGCTTGACTAGCATTCATGAGGCCCTGGGTTCAATCCCCAATACTACAAAAAGAAAAAGAAAAGAAAAATGGTGGTATCAGGGCTTTGGACCTACAGTGCTAACATTTAACCACTTTAATTTTTGTCTGTGCCCGCTGGGCCATTCTCAGTTTCAAGGAACCTCCTGTCAGCCCAGGCTCAGGGAGGGTATGCGATTTGCCAGGCACAGCCCTCGTGGCCTGGTGGTGCCAGGTTGGGTCCAGGTATGGGTGCTGCACAGGACTCCCTTTGCACAGTGAGTTCCTGTATCCCTCCTCTGTCCCTTGTCCAAAGGCCCCTACTTCCTGCTAGCCCCACCCCAGGTGTGACCTAACAGGTGTGACTACAGATGGTCTGGGAGCAGAGTTCACCCAGCAAGGTTGAACAACCCTCAGCCTCCCTGGACTCTCTTCTCAAAGGTCCCCAGCCCTGCCTGCTGAGTGACAGTCACAAAACCACCAGGGAAAGCTGGGCCCAGGTGAGGCTGGTGGAAACTCTGCTCCTGAGGATTCAGAGGGGCTCTCACTGTCCTGCCCACACTGGGACCTGGCAAGGTGGGGTTTGTCCGCCCCACGCACACCCAGGCCTCGTGTTCAATTGCTGCTGGGAGCATTGAGCTAGGCCCTGCTGACCTGTCCAGATTGTCCAGGGAGAAACGCTGGGTGGAGAAACGCAGGTAGCTCTCCTTGTAGAACCAGATGGTCAGGGGGTTCCAGTCTGTCACCAGGAACCACTGCCGGATGTCAAACTTGGTGTCATAGATGAGCATCGGTGTCTCGATGTACTTCTGGACCACCCACTTGTTGTCCTTGGTGGCCGGGGGGTCTGCAGCCACCAGCTCCAGGATGCTCTCCACACGGTCCATGCACACAATGTCTGCAAGGACAGGAGGTGGCTCTGCCCACTGTGCCACAGCCCCCCACGGTCAGGCTCGGCTAACACCCACCCAGACTTTAGTCCAGGGAGAGGAGGCTGTAGCCGGTGCCACTCACCCAATTCTCACAGCACAGGGCCCACCCCACAGTCCAGAGAGGACACAGTAGCAATCAGGGCAGGGATGAGGCACCAGCAGAGGCACCAGGCTAGGGTCACACTCTGGAATGTGGTGTAAACAAGGAGGCAGGAGCTGCTCCAAAACCTTAGAGCATCAGCAGGGGCCTTAGAGGCCAGGGAGGGCTAATGCCAAGAGGTCACTGGTAAAGGCGATGAGCTGGAGAAGGGGACACTAAAGGTCTCCCCCCTGTCCCTCTCCTCTACTCATAGGCAGGCTCCACAATTTCTTCCCACTCTTGCCCCTGAAATTAGGCTACATGACCTATGATGACCAGGGATGTGGGGAAGGAGTGATGTTCTACAGTGCTGAGTGCTAGTGACAGACCCTTCGGCCAGCTTTCCTCTGCTATGACAACCCTGAAGACTCTGGCAATGGGCGCTTTGATGGCTCCTCCAGACCTCAGCAGAACCAGTTCATCTGTTACTCATGTTTGAGGCCCAATCCACCCCACCCATGAGTAACAGATGAACTGGTTCTGCTGAAGTTTGAGGGGCTGTTCGTTACACGGTGCCATCTGGCTAATCCTGATGAATAGAGGCTGGAGGAAAGCTCGGTCCATAGAGCCCCAGAGGCACAAGGTGAGTTCTCACAAAACACAAGACTCTCATTTCTTCATTATAGCAAGTTGGGACCTTGCCGGAAATGGAAGCTCAGGGCATAGCAGAGAGTGCATTGGTTCACAGCAACAGATCTGAGCTGTCCGTGGTGCATCCCTGGGGGGCGCAGGTGTCTGCAGCAGGAGGAAGGGACGGCCTGATGGACAAGGGAAGACATAGGCTGCTTGGGAAGATGAGTGGGCTCAGGACAGGGCCCAAGGAGGAGCACAGCACACATGGACAAGCAGAGTGGACACCACAGGAGAGAAGGAGGACGCCCCCAAAGCCTGCAGACACCTGGGGAACATGGTCTAGGAGAGAGAACATTTCAGGACAGAAGACGATAGGACTGAATGCAATAAAAATCACACATGCTTAAAGGCTTTTAAAATTCACTACAATCAACCACTGTGAATTTAAAATACTTTCTGGAATAGCTCGAGAGGCAAACAGAGTATCCAAACTAAAGTCTATTTAAATACTGAGCAGTACAGGACATTCTGTAACATCAACAAGAGGTGTGGCAAAGCCACGTAGGGAGGAAATCACATAGCCTTAAAGCTTTTATTATTGCTCGTGAAAGACTGGAAACAAATGAACTTAGTGTTTAAGTCAAAGAAAAGAGAAAAATAATCCTTCATAGGAAAATTGAAAAGTGCAATTGAAAGTTGTTTCTTAGAAACACGAATGAGATTAGAAGACAGACACACAGACAGACATATGCACAGACACACCTACACAGACAGACATACACACACAGATTCACATAGACACATAGACATACACACATACACAGATAGACACAGATACACACACAGACAGATACACATAGACACACACACATAGATACACATATACAGACAGACATACACACGCACAGACACACATACACAGACACACACCCATACACAGACAGACTCACACACACAGACATACACGCACATAGACTCACAGACACACACACAGTAGGAAAAAAGCAAAGAGAGTCATGGCTGTAATTTAAGGAGACCAGGTAGAAAACCTGAATGGACCAGTAGCCATAATCACAGACAAAATTTAAAAGGTGCCTAAGGGAAAGCCTGTCTTTCTTCACAGGTGAGTTTATCATGAATCCATGAACAGGAGTTGCCTTGCTGTTTGAGATCAAAGTCCTTCACCCATTTTACAGGCTAGAATGAGCCTGTTGCTAAGATCACCCACAGTAATAAAAAAGAAAGCTGTGAGCAGTTGAACTCGTGAGTACAGATGAGGAAATGGTAACTAAGTGGGTGAACCCCAATCCAGCAAGTGAGGTGCACTTCCAGACACCTCCTCTTCCAGTGTGGCTCAGCTGCCCGTGGGTCCTGAGCCCCAGACTGGCCTTGGCGTTCAGCTCCCTGTCCCTTCCCTGCAGAGCTGTGAGCGTTGAGCCCGGCCTCGCTGATGCAGAGCAGGTGGCCGTCTGCAGTGGAGGCTGCAGCGCAGGAGGCCCCACACCCAGGAACTCACCTCGGCCCCGGGACTTGGCTGCAGGCTTTATAATCCAGATGTTCCGAAGCCCATCGATCTCTGTCTGAGGGTTCACAGAAGTGATTTTATTCAGCAGAGCTTGGCACTGTGAAAAGTAGCTTCTTGAGTCGGAGATGAAGGCATTGCCACTAAAAAGCAAGATCCAGAAAGATCATGAGGCCGAGAGATGGTGCTAGAGGCTGGGGACCAGTGGGCACCTTCCCTCTAGGACAACTAGTGGCCACCTGGCAGGAAAGGCCAGGGGAAGGTCAGGACATTCCACCACCTGAGGACATGGCAAGGCGAGGACAGGGCATGTCAAGAAGTGAGGACCTGGATTGGTGGATGTGGACTGCACGTAGTTGCCAGCTGGGAGCAAGGCAGATCCCTGTGCCAAGGCTCTGCCTGTGTTGGTGGTGCCCAGATGGACCTCCATAGGACAATGACCCTCTGTGTAGGCCTGCCCGTCCAATACCAACACCCAGCTTTCTGCCCTGTGAGCTGAACCTGTCCCACAACCTTCTTGGTGGTTTTGAAGAGCCATGGTAGCAATGGGCCTGACTAGGGAGCCACCAAAATCTAAAGGAACAAGGCCAGGAGTCAGTAGAGCCGTCTGAGGGACATTCACTCAGCAAGCCCTCCAGGACCCGTGCCCACCACCATCTGTGGGCAGGCCCAATGCATAGGGTCCCAAGACCACTGGCCACACTCAGGCTGGGGACCTGGAGGTGGGGGTAGATGTTTTAGGGGAAAAGGGACATCTGTGTTTGGTTCACTAGCTGGGAGCAAAGGGCAGCATTCAGGAGAAAGTGAAGTGTGGGGGTCCTGGCCATGTTGGGTAGGGCTTGCTGCCACTTGGGAGCTGTGGTCGAGGGATGAAAGAGCAAGAGCACCCAGTGGAGCCAGCCCCTCCCTGGTTGGGTGCAGGAACAGGAGTGACGTGTGCTACCCTGGGTTGATGGACGTGAGGTCTCCCCTCACATGTTGTTTGACCCCGGAATGACAGGACAGCTCAACGGGAATTAGGACATGGTGCAACTGGATACAGACTGCCCCAGCCCCCTCCATGCCCCCTAACATCGTGCAGCCTGCAACATGGGCCTGGACTATCACCAGGCAAGTGCCGGGCAGCACAGGTGTCATCATGGCTGTGGCCCAGAAAGAAGACTCACAGTCTGCCATCCAGTGGGAAGGAAGCTCTCACAGCCTCTCCAGCCCCCCAGGGCCCAGGGAGCCAGGGGAGGAGGCTGGGAGGATGTGAGACTATCTGCCAGTCAGTGGAGGACAGGACTAGAGCCTGGCAAGGTTTTAGGAAGCAATGCCCTCAGGCTGGGCCCCTCAGAGAACACACAGGTCCTTGAGATCCCATGATAAGAAAGGGGTGCAGCCGTCCCGGGCTCTCGGGGTCCTGACACCTGGGCACCCGCGTGGGGCCTCAGCAAGGACCGAGCAGGGTCCTGGGGCTCTCAGCGGGCTGCGGGATGTTAGGGGGCAGTCACAGTCAAGTGACACCAAACCTGCTGTCCTCCTGGTTTGAATGTCACACAGGGCCCAATGCTGCCACCCTGTGGTGACACCTGAATATTTCTTTTTCACTGAGGTCTAAGAAAGTACGTAAAGCCCTACTCAAAAAAGGGAAGTTTGACCATTTTTACTCAGAAGGTTTCTTACTATTCCGTCCCGGTCAATGGCAACCAGCTATCATTCTGATTTTTTTAAAACCGGTACTGGAGATTGCACCCAGGGCCTCATGCTCAAGTGCCCAGCCTCTCGAGTCACACCCCCAGTTCTTTTGTTCTTATTGTGGTTTTGAGACAAGATCTCAGCTAACTTTCCCCAGGCGGGCCTCGAACTCTATCCTCCTCCTACCTCCACCTCCTGCGTAGCTGGGATTACAGACGTGCACCACCATGCCAGCCCATTGTGGGTTTGACCTGCATTTCTCTGGTGCCTGTTGAGTCTTATTGCACAGCTTGGTATCTTCTTTTTGTGAAGGGGCAATACATCTATGACAGCTCATCTGTGAGAATACATGGGGAATTTCTGCCAAGGGACTAAATGAATGGACTCCTTTGATGAGTTAAGTCAAGATACAGTAACCAAAACTCTAGCAGAGGTGTCAGAGAAAAAGAGAGGCCCGCAGAACAGGATGACATTCTAGAAAAGACGAGTCTATTAGAAGGACTTTCGTGATGGCCAGGAGGAGGCCAGATCAGAGACACATGGGACACAGTGCAGCACACGTGCATCTGGAATCCTAGAATGAGAGGAGACAGAAAACAGGGCAGATGCAACAGTGCAGAAACAATGACCAGGGAAGGCTCCAACCCCCAGATCAAAGATGCCACACAAATCCCAGCAAGGATAAATACAAACAGAACTCCTCCTGGAAACACTGTACCGAGGTGATAAAACCAAAGACAAGGTCAGGCCAGGTGGCTGGAGCCCAGTAACTGGGGCTACTTGGGAGGCAGAGATCAGGAGTATGGTTTGAGGTCAGCAGCACAGGCAAACAAGTTCAAGAGACCCCATCTCAACCAGTAGCTTGGTGCTATGTCTCATGCCTGCCATCCCAGTTATGCAGTTAGCATAAATAGGAGGATCACAGTCCAGGCCAGCCTGGGCATTAAGTGAGACCCTATCTCAAAAATAACCAAAGCAAAAAGGACATGGCTCAAAGGGTATAGCACCTGTTTAGCAAGCATGAGGCCCCGAGTTCAATCCCCAGTTTTCCCCCTACCCCTCCAAAAAAAGACAAAACCTTAAAGCACTCAGAGAAAAAGATAATACCTTCAAGGGAACAAAAATGACACCTACACAAGATTTCTAAACAAAACTATGAAAGCCAGAAGACAATGAAACATCTAATAGTGCATCAAAGAACAATAAAAACCTGTGCAACTGAGAATTTTATTCCAGAGAAAACACCTTTCAAAACTGAAGGAAAAATTTAGGCTTTTTGAAACCAAGAAAATCTAAAAGAGTTATCCAATTGGCAGATTATCACTAGAAAAAATATTAAAAGAAGTTTCTCGGGAGGAAAGAAAATTATCCTGGACAGTCATGGAACCTCAGGAGAGAACACAGAGTCTTTGAAAGGGTTAATATGCAGAAATATTAAAATTATCAGCTGTCTAAAGAAATATGTCACACCAGTTTACAACAAAGACAGAGGGGACAAGTAAAGAGCTTCAGGAAGAGAAGGGAGGAAAACGAGTCACACTGCTGTGACTTGTGTGGGAAGCGGTAGAAGTTCTGATTGAAGGTGACTAATAAAAATACTGAAGGAAGTCGGGAGTGGTGCAGCATGCCTGCAATCTCAGTGCTGGAGAAGTTGGGGCAGGAGGAGCTTGAGTTTCAGGCAGGGCTACATGGTGAGACCAAGAATCTACAACCTGTGTAGAAGTAAAATCTGACCATAGCATGTCAAGCAAGAAGAAGTAGATGGAGTTAAATTATTTTAAGGTTTTAAAATTGTCCAGAAAATGGCAAAAATACAAATTTAAGGTAGACTGTAATGAGTCGAAGATGGAAAAATATATAGCTAAGAAGGAGCATCGGAGATAAACAGAAGCGTTAGGAATAATCCAAAAAACAGTAGGAGAGGAGGTGAAGCAAGAACGAAACAAAAAAGCAAGACAAAGACTTAAGCCCAACACACTAACAATGGCTCTCAGGGTAAATGACATTCCAATTCATAGAAAGAGATCCCAAGTTTGAGCAAAAAGCAAGACCCAGTCATTTCTTTAAATGCAAAGGCATCAAGGGACAGAGAGTAAAGATTGAAAAAAGATACATGTTTTGCAACATCGGTCTAAAGAAATCTGGTGGGGCTGAGCTTTTATCAGAACAAGCAGAATTCAAGGGAAGTCTTGTTATTAGAGATGAAGAGGAAACTTCCAAGCCACAGGAAAGCTCCGAATCCGATATACTGACTCGAAGAAGTGAAGAGGGAATTACAAGAATCCTCACATCCTTGCAGGTGGTGATTCTTCCCACTCAGTATCTCAGAGGACAAGCAGGCGAAATAGCCAGTTAGGGTCTCAACGGAACTGCACTGACAATTTTAGGGTACACCACCTAGTGACTGCAGAACACATGTTCTATTCACACCCCTGCGGAAGCAGAGGACCTCTGGGCCTTTGCGGGAAGGGTGACCGGCTGAGCGAGGCTGCCAATGCTCTTGATTGGGATGTGGCTCCAGGTGAACCCAGCAAAACTCCATCTGCCCGCACAGACATGACTGTGCACCCTTAACTGGACTTATGTTAAGCCTCAACAGCGAAGAGAAACGACGAAAAGAAGGAAAGTGCTTGGCTGACCCAAAGGCAGGAAGGAAGGGGCAAAGAGTAAAGATGCCCAGGATGGTGTGTGGGGCTGCTGCAGACCCTGGAAACACCGCCTCTCACCGCCTTGATTTCTGTCCTCCTGGGGGTGCCTAAGCCATTCCCACCCCTACTCATCTTGCCAGTGGCCATGGTGAAGGGGTGCTGGACCCCAGCCTGGGAAGACATGGCCCCCTGGAAGAGGAGGAAAGCAGGGTCGGCCTGTGGGCCCGAGAGCAGTGAGGGGCATGAAGATGGTCCAGAGGCCTGGGCAGCACCTAACCTGGTGGGTTAGATTTGACCCTGAGTGGGACAAATCTACCTGGGCTGTTGTGGCTCCAAAGGAGACTAAACACAAAAGGGGTTGGGAGCTGCAGGATGTGACCAGACCCCAAAGGCACCTGAGGGGATGCTATTCTCTCAATAGCCTACAGGGCACTGGTGGGACCAGAGGGCCTGGGTACCCCAATGTGTAGGCAGGCACCCCAACGCCTAGGGCTGCTACTGCCCCAGGCAGCTCCCAAAGAGCCCTCTGGAGGGAACACACGTTCTCAGTGGCAGGGGCAGCTCGGCAGGGCAGTGTCTTACTGGACCAGGGAGTAGTACTGCTGTGTGAGGTCATTCCACTGAGCCTCTGAGAGCTCCTCTGTGCCGGTCTCTGACTCGTCGATGTCCTCGTGCTCCAGCTGCCCCAGGTAGGCCTCGCACACCTTGCACGCCGTGTCCACAAGCTGTCCGGAGAGGCCTCTGAGCTTGCTGTCTGTATTCTCAGGCTCTGAAACTGAAGCACAGGTGTCAGTGTGTCACCAAGGCGACACGGGGCTGCCCTACCCTGTCGTGCTGCAGAGCCCTGCAGGGCAGTGCCCTGGGGTGACATCTCCTTCTCAGCAGGTAGCCCCTGCCCCCACGGGTCCCATCTTCTGGCTGTTCCACGTCAACATACCGCAGCTGAACTCAGCTCCTCACAGTGGTGAGGAGACATTAAAAAAAACATGCTTTCTGATCACATGCTTTGTGACCAGCTCTGTGACTAGACCATGCAGCTCTGGTGCTCATGAGCTGCCGTCAGTGCCACTTCCTGTCACGACAGTTGCACGCACACATGGCCACCATGGCCTGGCACCTAACCCCTTACACAGCCCTCTCTGAATTCCATGACTCAGGACCACTACTGAGTTTCAGGAAGTGTAGCTGAAGGTAAGGCTCCAATGGCCCAGAAATGTGGGCTGTGGATGAGAACCACCACTGTCCATCCCACTGTGACAGCCGAGGGAGGCACAACAGGAGGAAGTGGCAAGGTTGTGGCAGGCATGGGGAAGCAGCTGGGGGTGCTCTGGGCACTGTGCTGGTAGAATCAGGGCACCAGGGTGTAGACCAGGCAGGCCGTGCTGCAGGGCAGAGCACTGACTTCACAAAATATAAAGTAACCATCATAAAGTGAATGATGCCCTTCTGGCTTCCACATGTGAGAGGTGTGAAGTTACCATTCCAAAATAAGAAGCCAAACAAAGTACAGAATCAACAATTCCTCGATCCTCCAGAGAAGTGAGGTCAAAAGCAGAGCTACTGCCCCCAAGTTGGAGAGACAGACAGGCAAATATGGAAAGTCACAGCCTCACAGAGCAGAGACCTCCTCAGGAATGGACAAGGATGTACGATGAACTCTGGGAGGAAATTCCACAAAAGGCAGAAACAGAGAGGAAGAAAAAAATGTGACCAAAGAACAAGGCCAACAAACAGAAAACAGTAACAAATATGGTAGATGTCCATTCAATTACACCCATAATTACTTTAAATATAAATATTTAAATATACCAATCAAAAGACAGAGATCGCCAGAGTGGATTAAATAACAGGACCGAACTCTGTTTTCCCTAAGAAGCTCACTTTAAGTAGAAGAAACAGATTAAAAGTAAAGAGACAAAAAAGAAAGGTAGAGTTACAATGTTCATTTCAGACAGAGCAGATGTCGGAGAAAGGAAAATGACCAGGGGTAGAAAGGGCATAATGAAGAAGGAGCCAATTCTCCAGAAAGACGTTAACAATCCTTAACACATATGCACCTAGTGACAGACTTTCAAAGTAGGAAAAACTGATAGAACTTCAAAGACAAGTTGAGATTGCTCCACTCTCATGGCTGGAGACTTTAATACCCTGGTGTCAGTAATGGACAGATCCACGTGAGCTCAAGACCAACCTGGGCTGCACAGTGAGACCCTGTCTAAAATAAACACATAAATAGAACAAAATAAAGATAAAAAAGAGATCAAGGAGACAGAAAATAGTATCTATAACAACCCCATCAGTCAACTGGATACAACTGACATCTCACAATACTTGACCCAACAACAGCAAAGATGCTTCTCGACTTCACGTGGAACATTTACCAAGATAGACAAGACAGACCGCGGTCTGGCAATAAAACGCACATTAGCAAATCAGTCATATAATGTCTGCTCTCAGACCACAATGGAATTAAACTAGAAATTAATGTAAAAGATAGCTGGAAAAATCCCAAAGTACTTGGAGATTAAACAATACACTTCTAAATAACACACAGGGCAAAGAAGAAATCTCAAGAGAAAAATTTAAATATTTTGGGCTGGAGGCATGGCTCAAGAGGCAGAGTTCCTGCCTAGCAAGTGTGAAGCCCTGAGTTCAACCCTCAGTACCACCCTCTCCCCCTAAAAAGAAAGAAAATGAAAACACAACTCATCAAACTTTGTGGGATGCCACAAAAGCAGTGCTTAGAGAATACTTTTCAGCACTGAATGCTTATATTAGAAAGTAAAAAGATTTAAAGCTTCTACCTAGGAAAATTAGAAAAACAAGAGTAAACTAAACCCAAAGTAAGCAATATATATACACATATGTGTGTGTATGTACGTGTGTATGTGTATATATATGACATGTTTGTAATAGGTGACGGGGAAGATGAGAGAGGAAAAGAGAATGACAGTGAATAACATATCACAATACTTTACATCTGTGTATGAAGATGACCTCATGAAATGCACTGAAAGCTGTTGAATAATAGAGGGTGGGGGGAGAGAGAGAGAGAGAGCAATAGACGGGGTTGATCTGATTAAGGTACAATACATGGTGAAATACCATGGTGAAACACCTATGAACAATTAACATACACTTAAAAATGAAGGCCAGGAATGCAACACAAGTATTATTAGGGAGTGGACACTAGTGGGAGAGGAGGGGGAACAGACAGGCCAAGGAAGGGAATATGATTGATGCACCTTGTGTGAAAATAAAATAATGAAACCTGCTGAAATTGTTTTAAGAAGTTGAGGGGGCTGGAGGAAGCGAGTCTAATCAAGGTGCATTTGGAGCACATACGGCAATGTCACCACACCACCCTTGGCACAATAATATACCCTAATCAAATGTGAATGGAGGGAGGGAGGGAAGAAAGAAAAAAGGAGGGAGGGAGGGAGAGAGGAAGGAAGGAAGGGAGGAAGAAAAAAGAAAGGGAGGAAGAAAATTTGGTAGAAATCAATGAAATTTAAAACAGGAAATCAATAGAAAAAAAATCAATGAAACCAAAATCTATTTCTTTGAAAAGGGTAATAAAATGAATGTATCTAAGTCAGGATAAGGAAAGAAAAGACACAAATTGCTAATATCAGAAATAAAGAGGAGACATCACTACAGAGCCCACAGACATTAGTAATATGGTAAACCTAGGTGAAATGAACCAATTCCTTGAAAGACACTCTGCCAAAACCCACATGAGAGCAGACGATTGGAAAGGCCTGAATCTACAAAGGAAATTTAATCAATAATTTAAAACTTCTTAGGAATAAGATTCCAAGATGGCGGCTAGAGGGACGAAGCAGAAAGCATGCTTCTCTAAAGTAAAATCGTGGAGAGATGCTGGAGAGACACCTTGCAAGAAAAACCACCAAGAAGAGGTAAAACTCCGACTCCTCCACACCCCCAACCCACCCATAGCATCCCCACTCCATGGTAAATGGAGAAACCAGGAGGGCTCCCGCGCCACCAGACGCCATTTCCTACCGGCTCGAGAGACACAGACCACCAGGTGAGCTAAGTGGCACATGGAACTCCCACAAACAACCTGGGCCAGATCAGCATAGCCCCCTGGACAGAATGACCCCCACCCAAGGAAAAAAGAGAAAAAAAGGCTGAATAAACAACAACAACAACTAAAAGACATGTAGCAAAGAGGGCGGGGCGCCCTGAGTGTGAAGAGGGGGAAGGGGCAACCCCTCATGGAATGGTAAACAAACAAGCCGGCCGGAGAAGGCAGGAGTGGCGGCAGACGCCCAGCAACCAGGAGCAGAAAAGCTTGTAAAAGCGGTGGTGGGAGGAAACTCCACAGGAAAAGGGGGAAGACCCACTTCCCATGTGAACTGTAAATAAACACGCAGGCCTGAGAAAGCGGGTGCAGTGTCACCTCCCCCAGTGTGCTTGGAAAGGGGAAACCTTGTAATAGTGGCGGTCACACCCAGGAGAACTCTAAATAAACAAAGCCTGCGGGGCCAGGTAAATGTTAAGCTCACTCCTGAGATCTGCAATCAATAAAGCCTCCAGCAACAGCAGGCTGACAGCAGCGGGCAGGTGAGCTGCAGCCTCAGATACCATTCACAGAACTGTCTCCAGACTCTTTTTTTTTTTTTCTCTTCCTTTGATGAGACTAAGGACTGAACTAGAACTGCATGCTGACGGACTAAATGAAACTGTATTGCATTTGAACTTGGGATATTTTGTTTTGTTTTTGGTTTTTTTTCACCTTTGATGAGACAACAACAGAACTACTTCTGAGACACCATCTCCAGGATTGGAGGCTGAGGGATGAACACCAAAATTATTAAGACTGAAACTTTATTGCATTTGAACTTGGGGATTTTTTTTTTAATCCTCTCTCTGTCTCTCTAATGCCTGTTTAGCTTACTGTTGATTAGTACACTATCTCTCCCTGTTTATTTCTTTGGCATTGTTTTTTTTTGTTGTTGTTGTTTGTTAGTTTTGGTTTAGTTGTTTGTTTGTTTTTCCCTTTTTCTTTACCTTCTTTGCTTTCCCTCTCCTCTCACCCTCCCATTCTAGATATCACCATTGTTATTATTACAAGCTAGAAAATCCTTAATTGCACACAGTACAGGTACAGTAACAATAGCAAGGACAATGACGGGAAGATGGAAAACATAGGGAAACCAGTTTCCCCACAGCAAAAAATTAGTACAGGAACAAGAGGGGAATGAAGAAAACATACTCAGATCCAGACTCCAACAAAACGAAGATTAAACTATGCCAAAGAACCCAATGAAGCCCACAAGAACAATCTGAAAGAAGAAATCCTGCAAGTAATCAATGAGAATTTTATAGAGATGATACTGGATAGGGTCAACCAAAATGTACAGGAGACACTCAAGAAATTCCAAGACAACAAAAATAGAGAATTTGAGAAAGCACAAGAACAAATAAAAGAAACCATAGAAGCACTGTATAAACACCAAAGTGAAACACAGAACACGATAAAGAGATAAATGAACTCAAGACGAAAATAGACAAGATTAAAGAGGAAACACCCAGGATATGGAAAACCTCAGAAAAAAGAATGAAACAGAACTGCAAAACAAAACAGAAGGCCAATCCAGCAGAATAGAACAAACAGAAGACAGAATCTCAGAACTTGAAGATGAAATGGTAATTAAAGGAAAAACCAAAGAACTATTAATTAAACAACTCAAGACCTGTGAAAAGAAAATGCAAGAACTTACTGACACCATCAAAAGAACA